AGACAACAGCAGGGACTTCCACAGCCTTGGTGCCAGTGCCTGAAAAGCCAGATCTCCATGTCTTTTAAACCTAGTACTTTTCAGATTAAACATAACCAGAACGGTTATGTTGGATCTGAAGGTTCCAGTGAGCACTGTTGGGGCAGGAGAGAACATAATTTCACCATAAACCGGCCAGGACCAGCTGCTCCCCACCAGTTTTCAGACAGGGGAGTGAAAAGAATTATCAGAAGAGTTGTCAAAAGCAAAGGAGCACTTGCGAAGAGCTACAAAAAGACGTGGAATCAGCTCAACTGCTGTGCACTGGAATGTTTCATATAAATGGAGGAAGATGAATAGAAAAATGTTCTGCAGAGCATCTACCAGGATGCTGAAGATGAAATGAGGACGGACCTTTCAGCAAGACGATGATCCCAAACACAAAGCCAAAGAAGCTGCTAGAATGACAGCCAATCACCTGTCCTGAATCTAATTGAAAATCTATAGATATAATGAAAGTTTAGAGTTCATAGCAGGGCTCACAGAACGTTCAGAATTTGAAGACCATTTGTGCAGAAGAATGAACCAAAATCACACCTGAGCGATGCCTGCAGCTAGGAGGCGTCTTGAAGTTGTCATCACCAACAAAGGCTTTTGCATGAAGTATTAAATACAATTTCAGTAAGCGTGTTCAATACCTTTTCCTTCTTTCATTTTTCATTATTACACATAACATCTATGGTTTGATTTCTTTGCATGTGTGGACTGGCTGGATTGTTACTGACATCTGGTGAGAATTTATTTCAATAGCACCTTTAGAAATGTATGTAGTGAGAAATCTGGTGATATTTTCAATACTTATTTTATCCCCGTATATTATACACCATCTGTTTCAGCTGGTGGGAAAATGGACACAAATAGCAGCGAGCACAGGCATCCCTCAATTCAAAATGCTGACGAAGATGCTTGTGGAGACCGCCTGGATGAACACCACTGCTGCCACTGAGGCTAATACGTTCAATAATCTCTACATTCAAAAAATGTAATAAAAACGATAAAGCCTTGCCTGAACGGATACTGTTTTCAAGTAATGTGAATTTAGAAATCTCTTTAATTTTATCTTTTAAAAGGATGGGCATGTGTTTCACACTGAAAACCAACATGACTTTGGTTAACAACCGTTTGGGTGAGTATTAGTGAGGGAACAAACATTCGATGACCAGATTTAGACTTTGATTTAGACTTTGGACCTAGCATTGCCACAACACTTTTAGTATATATCGATTGGTGTGTATTACCCTTACCAATGCTAAAAGAATATGAAGCGTGGCCATCATCTGTCATCTGTCCACAGTGCACAATAACCAATCTTCTGCTGTCCTGCTGAATACTGGCTGTCCTGACTGCCTTGTTATCTTCTCAAATGACACCATTGGGAGAACTGCAGTCAAAGCTCTCCATCTCCTGAGTAAGAACAATGACACACTAAATAATGTAATGTCAAAGTACTTAAGTATTTTTTATGAGACGCCGGCCACTAATTTCCAAAATAAAACAATGACTAATCATTGAACAGTGGTTTCCACTGTTCTACGGCTTAATAAATCGGAAAACTGCAGTGCTTTGAGAAT